GCTGCTAAAATATCAAATAATTTGAGTGAAAATTTCTGCAATGCTTGTTCTTGCCAGCAACTTCTAATGGGAAATCTCAAATAATAAAAGTGTTTATGGATCAGCTAGTTGCAATCTGGAGAGATCTTTGTGTGAAATCCAAAGACCAGGAGTGTCTAGAATAATTGCTGTTGCAGGCATAAAAAAAAAATATGTAGTGAGAGAAAACTTCCAAGTTGCATAGCAGTATACGGTTTGCAGAAAGCTCAGGTTCTTACTTTGGTAAGTGTACCGTGGTATGACAAACAACCTAAAGTACTGCACAATAAAAGTTTAAATGCATTCAGAATTTTCCAGTCTCAAACTGTTCACTAATTAAAGCAGACAATTTCAGACCTGAAGGAAAAATAAAAGCACAGCCAAAACTTAGCTGGCAGTCATTTGATAGTTGAGCGTGCAGGAGACTTTTTACAAGAAATTATAGGCTCCCTGGTGTTTGCAAATTCCTTGCCTTTTTCCTGATTTTTTTTTTTTTCTAGTTTCAAGCCAAAAAGTGTGCATTTTGCAGTCATAAAAAACATGCATGTTGAAAGAAAACTTCTGAGTTATGTAGCAGTATGTGGCTTGCAGAAAGCCCAGATTCTTGCACTGGTAAAGCTACAGTGGCATGATGAAGCACAAACCACTCCAGTTTGCTAGGAATTGTGTGCTGTCCCTTCTAGGTGATGTGTAGTGCAGCCCAGTTCTGGACATAGTCTATACAGAGAGATGGTGATTCAAAATGAACCAAACTTGTTGCTCAAAAATAGAGGAAATGAAGGCTATTTGGAAAGCTATGGAATGTTTGCAAGGTGAGCATGAAGTTTTGTGGATGTTGGGTTCCAGTAAACCTGAGTTACTTCATAGTAAGTCTTTCTTAAACTTTCTGGCTCAGGGATTTGTTAAATAAGGGCCACGTTTCTGTGTAGAAAAGAAGGATAAATCTGTTCTGGCAGACTTCACAGCTAGTCGCGTGTCTGCATGGCTGTGTGCTTAGCAGGGAGAACTACATCCATTTCAGTTACGGAGTAGTGGATGTTAGAGAAGACTGGGTGGAAAAGGTGAAGACTCACAGTAGATTTCATGTTAGTGCATTTCTTCTTCAAATAAAGTTGAAATTATTTGGCTTGAAGCTCTACTGTGCTTAAAAGACCATTTAAAAGAAAAATGTAATGTCAGAGTGCTTCTTGTAATGTTAACATATCTTGTTTCCAGCCTTCTTTTGGAACAGAAAGAGAAAGCATTAAAATGTTTTGTTAAACTGTTAATTATTTTCCTAAATAAACAGAAGACTCAAAGCGAAAATACTTGTATCCAAGTTTGCAGTTACATAAGCAATGCTAAAATAAATAATTGACCCCAAACCTGTTGTCCTAAGGGCTATATGCCGTTTACAGGGGTAAGCCAGTTTACTGGGACATAAGATGTTGGGTTCTCCGTGCCACGTCCTGCCTGATCTACAACTTCTCTCTTGCTTTGTGGATTACTAGGACCCCCTTAGTATTTGTGCTGGGAAAGCAGTTATGTGAGCTCTGAATTTTGATTCATGTTAGGCTTCACTTTATTCATCAAACAGTGGTGTTCTTCCAAAGTACTCTGTCTAGAGTACCTTCTGGCCTCGTGGGTTTGGGATGACCAATGGTCTCCTTTAGTAGTTTCTATGTCTCGGTCCATTTCCTTTTCTGAAGACAGTTGAAACAGCAAAGCATCTCTGAGCACAGAGAGGGTGGTTGCATTGCATCTTGCCTGAGCCCCACTTACAGAAGATGGCAATCCACTTGCCCTTGTTTGGGGGGAACTCATCTCATCCTGAAGAATGAGTTCCATTTATTAAGAAAGCAATTTATTGCTTTTAAGTAGAATAGTACTTCTCTTTGTTTGAAAGTGTGGAAAATAGAAAATTTCTTGTGGAACCTTAGAATAACAATCAGTCACCAAGGACATGATCCCTTCCCCCTGCCCCTCCCAAGTTAAAACATCTCTACTTAATTTTATTTTGGTGCTTTATCCAGTGCTTAAATTTATTTCTCAAGTGCCAAACTATTATCTTTTTTTGAGGGGAAGAATTCAGGAAAGCTAGATGAAAAATCAGCTCATTTCTGATTGGGTATTTTCTAATATATAAAATATATGTGCCAAATCTCCTTGTCTGTAGAAAAAAGGGTAAGAATCTCCATTGATTAATAACTGGCTGAGTTTTATTTTAAGCTAGTGATTCCCTGCTTTCAAGAGACTATAATCTACTTTTTTTTTTTTTTTAATTAGAAAAAATAGATTTCTTTTACTGTACTCCATGAATAATCTAGGATATGTTTTGCCAATTTAAATGGAACGGAAATGAACTGGCAAGATTGATACTTCAAAGGAATATACAGTTCATCAGGAATACTTTGTCAGTTAATTGTTTGTAAATGTGTCCCTTTCTTATGCATGTAAAAGGGTTTAAAGTATTCTGTGAGCACTGAGGTCTTTTATCCCTTCAGTTGCTTATGGAATACTAATGAAAGTAATGTATGTTCATCATGTGGAAAATATGTTGGCAGACAGATACCTGCAGTGCCTTAAATGTTTTGGCATTGTCTTCGTTTAATCAGCATAGTTGATCCCTACTTCCCCCCGAGGTTTATACTTTCAGAATAAGATCAAAGGTTTATATGAAAATTCAAGCAAAAGTCAAATTCGCCTATTTTAGAGATGAATGAATAGATAAACAGAAGCTTAAAAATAAAACCTTAGGCACTCCGGTCTCTAATATAAAAAGTCTTGTAGGAACAATAATTACAGTAGTTATATATATTTAAAAATCAGACATCTGAAATGTTAACAGAAGAATTTCCTGGAATTAAATACCTATCTGATTAAACTTTTGTGATTTGTTTTCATGATGCTTTCTAGAAGAGCAGATGTTTTATGCTGTGTCTGCGTGCTTTGCTAAATTAATAGGCTGACTTGGCATTGAAAATGCTCTTTGAGGAATGCCAAAAAAAACCCAAACACTCCTAAGTTAAAGTGACAGTTAAAATATCCACTAACATTTTTTGGGTATTCTGTCTGCCTTTTTGTGGCACTGATTCTTTTTTTTTAAACCATTTATGTCTTCATAAAATAGTGTAAAGCAAGTTGGGTGGCTGTTCCATTGAAGGCTGACTCCAGTAAATGTTTAGTGGAATGGAGAAAAAAGCCTAGGAGTATCAACGGCTAAATTAAAATTATGATGCAGAAGTGGTATCTTATTGCTAAATAGAAGATAAATAAATGGAATGGTGTCAGTAAAACCATAGGGAAACTAGAGTGCAAAGCAATTACATTAAAACAAGATTATGAATAAGGGTCCTACTTATCAAAAATTCTATCAGCAATGTTTTCTGAACGTTGTTTATGTTTCTTTATCAGAAGTGAATTGTCATGTGTTGGTATTTTCTCTACTGTATGGCAAAATAATGGTTATTTTGTTAAGAAAATTTCATGATATTTACCAATTGTTGTATCTTCGCATCTGACACCACACTTTCTGTTTAGTAATTGGTTGCTGCTGAAATAGCAGGGGCAGGCTCTGCATTTGCAAATGCATTTGGGTCCAGTTTGATAACACTTCTTCTACATGTACAAAATCTTAGCTGTAATGTTGCAGTGACAATATATTTCTTTTTCCTAGGAATTATGAACTTATGAGGGGCACAGCGAATTATGCATTTTCTAAGAAAACTGTGGGCTTTAGTACTGTTCTCTGAAAATGATGTTTGAGTGGGGTGACTTTGGTACATCAAAGCAGTGTTTCTCATATGAGCATACAGCTAAAGTCTGAGTATCTGAGTTAATGGAATAGTGGGTAGAGTAAGACATGTGGTGGAGACTTTTGCAGAGGACAAACTTCACAATTTTTTATTAAAAATTATTTCTGTACCTAAGTGTTATATCATGCTGTCTGTTCTTTACTAGTCACCTTCTAGTTTTTATCATGTAGAGTTTATAAGTACCGGGTAGTTGTGCACTCTTTAAAATAGCAACATATTTTTCTTAAAAAACTGTCAGAACAGTATATTTACTTTAAACTGACATGGTGAAACTAAACATAGAAACTGAAGCATTTGGCTTCAACTGGATTGCTTCAGCAACTCTTAAAATAAAATAGGCATATTTGGTTTTTCTACTTTGGATATAATGAGATCAATAGGACTCTATATTCCTACATTCTACAACACTTTACATGCAGCTTGTATTGAGAAACTCTGTCTGTGGAGTTTGCAGTTTTCTAAGAAATGTGCCGGAATTGCGACTTTATAGAAATAAGTTTTTCTTGTGGGTTTTTTTTCTTTTTTTATATTTCACAATGGAATTAAGAACAGGCGTTGCAGCCGTGATTCAGTGTGTATCAAAATCGTATTTGAAACAGTTACTTTTACTGTTATTGCAATAAGCTTTTCCTTCATTTTGGATAACATAGGAAATAAGACCAAATGCCTTTTGTGTTCTGACTTTTGCATCTATCTGCTTTGTCTGCGTTTATTAATGCTACATGAGGCTGCTGCTCTTACTACAAAACAAAGTCACCATATAGGCAAATCCTAAGGTACTGTGTAGTCCCAGTGTCTCTTGGACAGCTTAGCAGGATTGCATTACATCAGGCACTAAATGTCATAAGTTTCAGGAGGAACTTACTATTCTTCCGAAATGTAAATTAAGGAACCCTTCCCCCTCCCTCTTGCAGTTGGTAGATAATAGTGTTAGTATCTGAAGCTGTGCATACCGGGGAGTAAAATTCTGCCTGAACTACAAAGAGATCTCGTCTACTTGCCACAGCATGTTTTTGAAGTCTTTTGTGTCATAGCAACTGTTTCAAAAGCATATTTTGTTGAGGAAAAACTACAGTAGATCATAAAACGAGAAGGGCAGGCTTGTTTCTGATGTGTGTGAGAACATTCAGTCATATGAATGTTGATGTTAGTCCAAGAAAAGATTGATTAATTTAAAATCTATTTTAGTTCTCCTCAAACAGAGATGGATAAGAACACGGATGAAGAGCAGCCTGTGGCTGCAGGTAACCAGTACCCTAAAGAAGCGGTGAAGAAACGTGAGAATTCGGGCCGAGATTCCAGGAGCAGTGATTCTTCCAGAGCCTCCAGGAAAAGCTTCAGGCTGGACTACAGATTAGAAGAGGATGTAACTAAATCAAAGAGAGGCAAAGATGGGAGATTTGTCAACCCGTGGCCAACATGGAAATCGCCAACCTTGCCAAATGTTTTGAAATGGTCCCTCATGGAAAAAGATAACAGCAATGTGCCACGCTCAAAGCAGGTAAATACTTGTATGTTTTCTGTTCTTAATTTAAACTGTTCTTACCTCTGCTCTAATTAATAAAATAGGATGGTTTCTAAATAATACTTACTAGGCATCTTTTGGAGACTTTTCTAACTGTTGTTTTTCTGATTTTTATTATCACTTTATTATTTTCAAAAAGTAGGTTGATACTTTCTGCCTATTTAATTTTTTTCTCCTTTCTGCTAGTTCCACGCCCTTTGATTTGTCTAGCTTGGTTTATATTTACAAAAACAACAAAAATGGCCTCCTACTTTAATCGTAAACTACAGTTACACTCTTTCCTTTTTAATAGGTGTTGCCTTATGAAGCGTTCTAACATCATTCATATTGGATGAAATAGCTGTGGCATATCTCATTTTAAAAATTTTACCTTTTTTTTTCCAGACTACCATTTACTACACATGTTATATATTTTAATAAAAATGTACTAAATAGTTGCAGTCATTTACTTATGGAAGTGCATGCAAATCTATGTTTCTCCACCTCAGTACACCAGGAGAAAAAAAGGTGTACGTTAAAACTAACCTGAGCAAGTATTTGTACTGAAATATTAAAGGTACAGTGCCAGTTTACTGGAAAACACCATTATTTGCTCTTGGTGTATGGCTTCTGCCAGATATTGAATATAAGGAAAGAGGTGGGGGAAGCGACCTCCGGGAGAAGCTTGTTTTCCATGAAGAGTACTGGATCCTGGAAAGCCACAGGTTGTCTCTGTGGCCATGAGGAGTGTCACCATGGCTGCAGCTCTGACAGTCAGGATTACTTGGTGTATTTTCTGGCGCGTTGCCTGCACTTCAGAAAAGCTGTGCTGAAGGGGGTGCGACCAGGAAAAGCATTTTTGAACAAATAGATGTTAATAATGCTTTTAAGCATTCAAAAAGGCACGCATAAGCTACAAATCTCACAGACTGTATTTAGCAAAGAGCTTACACTTTTCATTTTTATCTTTTGTCTGTGAAGGAAGTAATTTGATCAGCTTTATGGACAGGAAAGCCGTGTTACTTATTAACACACGATGGTCAGAGGTTCGGGGATTTCTCTAAGGATACGCGGCAAAGATCGTGTTTAAAGGAGAAATAATCTTGGCTGTAATTGTTCTATAATAATAATGATTTGACTTCAGAAAGCAGCACAGCAAACAGATTTCAGTCTTGGAATCGATCCCTTCTGATAATTTACTGTTTTAAATTTGGTGTCGTGCTTCTAGGCATTATCTGCACCTTGTACCAGTGAGGGTGGTTGTGCCTCGGCGTGTACGGCTTCCTCGGCAGCGTGCTGCACTATGGCACTTTGGCCACGTTTCCTTAAAATTCATTCCTCAGTGTTTTTGATTGCCTTTGATTTCTCCCCTGTGCCCTATGTGTACGATAGGCTTTGTATCTTGCCAGCACCAGTCACAAACCTGGTTAGTGACTGAAGCACACAGAAGACAGTGCTAAAGTGTACTACAGACTGCAGAATATACAGCTCTCTGATGCAGTGGAGAACTGCAGCACTCCCCTTTAATTTACAAATTACCCCTGCAATAAAGGATGATTACAGAGAAATCTACACTGTAGATTGACAGTTGTAAAGCTGTGTCTCTGACCCAGTTGGGATTCATTTTGGACTCATTTTATTGCTTTGCAAATGAAATTTTTTAATTAAGTGCCTGCAATTATTTAGGAGCTCGGTAAAGTAAATCAGAAATAGAAAAAACCTAGATAGGGATCAATGAAATGTACTTCTTGAGTGCTCAGCCATTTCGATGCTTGTTCCAGCTACGTTTGCTCCACACCTAAATGAACCTGTAAAGCACTTCTGAGCTTGCTTAAAATTCAAACTAAGGGCTCCACACTTTATTTAGCACTGGTAGATTGCATGTCCTTCGAGCAGACTCCTACTTCAGTTTCCACATTTGAGTGTGCATAGTGATACCCTGCTATGCTGGGCAGGTTCAGTTTATCTGTACCAAGTGCTTTGCATATGTTAAAAAAAAAAAAAATAAAGGCAGCATATTATCCAGGATATGTACTTCACTGTGTAAAAAGCTATATGTATTATAATCATGCCTTCAAAACAAGCCTATATAATTTTCTAGAATGCATAGACTTCTTGTATTTTCATTACAGGCTTTATTAATAATTTTTTTCAGTGCTGTTGGGAGTATCTTTAATTATTAGTTTTTGGATCAACGATTTAGTTTGTTCTCATTTCTGTGAAAGCCAGTGGTATTCCAGTATGCACTAAGCACCAAAAATCCTAAGCTAATTAGGTAGTCTCACCAAAGCCCGTCATGTGTTTCTTCTTGCTTTGCATTAGGAAGAAAAGAAGAACGTGGGAGGGGGGAAGGGGCACAGCAGGAGGAATTTTTGTATTACTCCAGTGATGAAGATAAGACAGTATTAGACACATTTTGCTTCTGTTGGGAGCTGATTTGACATTAATGCCACATTTCAAAGATCTGTTATAATTCTTTAGTATTAATGTGTTTCTGCTTAGTCTGACAGAGAACAAAATGTACTGTAGCAGGATAAAGGCTCCATAAGATTATGTATTTTGTTCATTATCCTGTTGTATGAGTTTTAAGAATTTCATATGACATATACTGCCAACAGAAATTGTGTTACAGTTTGAAATTTTATGAATTGAGTAACAAGACCTTATTGCTTGAAAAGGTAATTTGGGGGATTTTAGTGTACTTTTGTAAAATACTTAAAGAAAAACCCAAAACAAACCACACAAACCCACAAACCCCATGCATTGAAAAAGTATTTTTTTTTTCAACTGTTCCCCTGTGTGATTTACTATGATAGCTCAAAATAATACCTGATTTCTGATCTCATCCTCCAAAGAATCACTGATTTGGATCAGATGCCGTGTATGACAAACCTGTAGATCTCATACAGAGTCTGTGCTTTCCAAGCCACACTGCCTTTTTGATCTTGATTTGCCATGAATTTTTGTTCACAGAATTTCATTTAAATAGGTTAGGATTCTAATTGTTTGAACTGTTACCCTTTATTTATCAATCTTCCTGCCTCTTTGTGCTTTACAAGTGCCTTTTAGAGTCATTAGTTTTACCTTTAAATCGGCTGTTCAAAATATTTACTGGTGTCAGTCCCAGTGACATCCCTGTGAAGCCTTTAATAGCCAGGTGTGTGGTGGTTTAACCCCAGCAGGCAGCTCAGTCCCACACCACCGCTCCCTCCGCAGCGGGATGGAGGAGAGAATCAGAAGGGCAACAGTGTGAAAACTCGTGGGTTGACACACAGAGATTTAACAGGTAAAACAACAAACAGAGCAAAACAAGGAATTCATTCACTACTTCCCACGGGCGGACAGGTGCTGAGCCCTTTCCAGGAAAGCAGGGCTCCATCATGCGGAAAGGTGACTTACGAAGACACACACTATCACTCCAAATGACTCCCCCTTTCTCTTCCTTCCCCCAGCTTTATATACTGAGTGTGATGTCACATGGTATGGGATATCCCTCTGGTGAGTTGGGGTCAGCTGTCCCACCTGGGTCCCCCCCAGCTTCCCAGCACCTCCAGCCTCTACTGGCTTTGATGCTGTGTAGGTACTGCTCAGCAATAGCTGACACATCCTCTGTCATCAACACCAGTTGGCACTGTATTGAGCTACTAGGAAGAAAATTAACTCTGTCCCAGTCAAAACCAGTACAAGACGTTTAAGTCCCAGTTAGGAATTCTTTGTTCACATCTGCCAATTAGCTGGTTCTTAATCCATTTAGTATTGTCTGTTAATATTGCGTGACACTAATTTTGAAAACTAGTTTGTGTCAAATTTCAGCAAAAAAAAAAAAAAAGTGGATTCATTTGGAGATGATTTGTAGTCTCCCTTTAAAAACAACTACTTCAAAAGAATGTTTTCCACAAAGAAGTACTTACTGACCTAAATTGCATTATGACAATTAATTATTAAACTCCATATCCAAGTTTGATTTCGTTGATATAATCTGATTTGTTGACTTAACCACATATAATTGGGTGGGCTGTCCTAATTTCCATTTTTGAGTATTACCTTAGTTTTGTGGATCTTCCACTCTTTTAATTGAAGTGGAACAATATTATACTCCTTGTGGTTCAGATTTCTCCTGTCGATTGTCCGCTTGGGACATAGAATGAAATAGAGGTGGATGTTTCTTTCTTGGAGAAGCAGCAGTTTATCTCAGTCTAATACTCATAGTTTGTTTTTTCTTGTATGAATTAAGTGATTGTATTGTAATAACCTTATATTCAGCTTTGTAGAAGGTTATCTACTTCTTATTCCTGGAGATGGTAATGAAACTTTTTCAGTAGACATGCTTTGTCCATTAGCTCTCAGCGAAAGCAATTTCATTAATATTTCATTACTTACAGTAGGATTGCAGGGAAATGAGGGGTGTTGTGTTTGTTTTTTCCCCACATATGCCCTCCAAATCAATAAAATATTGTGGAGAAAGTAACTTCCCTGAAGCTGTCAGGACTGATTTAGCAAGGGAAATCCTGGGCTCCAGAACTGTCACAGCATCAGCTGGGCTTTTAAGGGACCAGGAGGTTAGCTCTAAATAACTCCCCCATAGCATTAATCTGCTGTGCTGGGCCTAGAGAATGAGAACAGCAGCCTTGATGGGGAGAGTGGCACTAGGAACCAGACATGCTGTGACATCTGTGATTACCAGGGAGAGAAGAGGGTCAGGAGTCTCTAAAAGATGCCCAACATAAGGAAATTCTTCTCGAACAATGAGAGGAGTTCAGACCAGAACTGTTTGTGAGGAGAGCCTTGGCCATGCTGGTCAGGAGGCCCAAGATGACTTTTTGTTTGGTTGGGTTTTTTAATAGGAAAACTCTTTATTTATTAGAAATAAAGCTGCATAAGCATCTCAACCAAACTGCAACGAAGAATGTAACTCCCATTCAAAATGAGAGAACGAGCAGTGGTTTGGTGATGAGTTTCAGTAGATAATGTACAGCCGAGGCTTCTTTTGTGCCAATTGTCCTCTCAAGGCTGAACATAGGGTCAAATTTGGAAGCCAATCGAGGTAAAAGCTGTTTATTTTCCTCCTCTGGATTAATGTCCAACTGGGTCAGTTGTCTGACCTGTCACATTTGAGTGGGGACTGCAGAAGCATTGAGGCTGGAACAACAGGGCAGGCAGGAGGTTTCCATAACTTTGTATGCAGGAGTATGGTTTTAGGTTGATTTAAGTCATTCACAGGACTGCATCCTGAACATACAGGGAGATCATATGGTGATTTATTCAGTAATAATTAAACTTTAATTACCTAGAAGGCTTCAACAAAGCAACCTGAGAATCATAGCTAAGTGCCTAAAGGACCATCTTAAAAATGAGATCTGAGTTTTCATTTGTGTTTTACGAATGTTCGCTGAATTATTGGCAGGATGGAAAGAGAGAATGGTAAAAGCTGATGTTAGCCAAGTGAGGTTAAACGTAATGTGCTGCTTCTGGACCTAATGGAGAGACAGCGTCTGCTGAACAGTAATAGAACAGAGCTTTTGCAGAATGCTGTTGGGAACGTTGTGTTCTCTTTCATCCCTGGGTTTGTGACTTATTTGTGGTAGGACTTAGGGGATGCATCATTTAATTGGACAAGCTAAATTTGAGTATTTGTTACAGTAACAGTGTGTGTGTATGTGTGTATGTGTATATATATATATATATATACACACACACACACTTTTCCAGGTTGGGAAGGCCAAACATTGCAAACCCTTTCCTGGGATGTTGTTAGTGCCTTGCAGTGCTTTCACTGCAATGCTTTCAGATTCTCTTTTTCTATTAACAGGTCTCCTGGCCTGGTGAGTTACTCTCGAGTTCTCCCTTCTGTCTCTTGACAGAGAAGTCAAAATGTTACAAAAACTTAAAATTAAATTGGGAGGGAAATTAGCTGGGATAATGGTGATTGAATAGGCATCTGTTTTGTGTTGCAGATCTCTGTTTACCTAAAAATATAAATCAAATGCAAGTCTTGACTGTAATGATTTGTGCCTTGTGTGCAGTTTTTGTTCCATGGTCAAATACGTTGTGAAATCTTTCATGCATATTGTGTTCTTTTTTTTTGCTAGGAACTGGATAATGAGCTTCCAGTGTTAAAACCTTACTTTGTTCAAAAGCCGGAACTTGTTGGGAAGACAGGAACTGGGATGCGAGTCACGTGGTTGGGACATGCCTCAGTTATGGTGGAAATGGACGAACTTGTCTTTCTTACTGACCCCATCTTCAGCCAGCGAGCTTCCCCTATTCAGCTGATGGGTCCCAAGCGCTTCCGAGGACCTCCGTGCACGGTAGAGCAGCTCCCCAAAATAGATGCAGTGGTGATCAGCCACACCCATTACGATCATTTGGACTACAACACCGTAACGAGTTTAAACCAACGCTTTGGGAGCGAGCTGCGCTGGTTTGTGCCTCTGGGGCTCCTGGGCTGGATGCAGAGATGTGGTTGTGAGAATGTGATTGAATTGGATTGGTGGGAAGAGAACTGCGTCCCCGGTCACGATGCCGTAACTTTTGTCTTCACCCCTTCTCAACATTGGTGCAAACGGACTCCGACAGATGATAACAAGGTTCTTTGGGGCAGCTGGTCTGTCTTGGGACCTTGGAATAGGTTTTTCTTTTCAGGAGATACTGGATATTGTGTTGCTTTTGAACAGATAGGTAAAAGGTTTGGACCTTTTGATCTTGCAGCCATCCCCATTGGAGCTTATGAGCCAAGGTAAGAAAATCAAAGTTTGATCAAAATACCTAAATGAAATTATATACTGATGACAACAAAATACACCCAGAAGTGAAAACACATATTAAGAGGCACACTCATTATCAAGATTTTACAGTATAGAGACCAAAGACAGAAGTTGCTGAATGGCAAAAAAAAAAAGCACAGGCAATTTGGTGATGGAGCTGCAATATCTAGGATAGTTGCCTGTGTATGTGTGGTGTTCTTGGAAGGCTTTTTTACTGCAGTCTTAAGCACAGGAAGGATGAATCAGCTGACATTCTTCCATGAAAAATGTTGAGTAAAAATTTGGAATTACTTTGTGCCTTTTTCTTCTAAGTAGCATCACTTAACCCAGCCTGTTTAGATGCATGCCATTTACAGCATTTTTCTCTTGTTTCAGTCCTTATGCTGTTTTTGCAACTTATCTGGAGATAAAGATGAATCCTTTATAGAGTGTCAAAGATCTGTTTGTTTAAGCATCTATATCCTGCTTATGACAGGGTATCTAAACTTTTAGATGATAGCACTCATATAATGCTGAAGCAGAGCATGTATATGCTGGGGAAGGAAGATAGGAATCAGAATAATGTGGTAAAAATCCAGTATCTTTCAAGAATTGCCAGGTTCTCTCTTCTGCTTTGCCGTGTTCCCTTAGGCTGGCTTCTGAAGCATGCACATTTTAGTGTGTGCTGCACACAACATTTTCAGGGATGGATTTAAATCTATGGCCTTAATGCCTCAAGGCACCAGTGATACATCCTTATACTATTAAAAATACATACAAGAAAAAAAGAAGTTTGAAAAGAGGAGTGAAATACAGGAACAGCTGTTCTGTGGGTATATTCCAGCTTGTTGACTTTGAGTGTTCTATATGTTGTTCAGATGTAGGTGCTCCATATTTCTTTTTTTATTAAGTGAACATATTTTATTTATTTACTTATTAAGATTCTTTGCACCTTACCCAATGAAAGTAAAGAAGAAATCTTGCACTGAATTAGGTGACACAAACCCATTTACTTTGTGTTTTGGTAGGTGGTTTATGAAACACCAGCACGTGGATCCTGAGGAAGCAGTAAGAATCCATATTGACGTTCAAGCAAAGAAGTCTGTAGCAATTCATTGGGGGACCTTTGCTTTAGCAAATGAGGTAAATGTCAACGCTATACATGAGTTCAGGTTCTCTGAGCACGCAGTCATTAATGAAGCTTTGCTTTTGCAGTTTAACCTAGGTATCTGTGAATGTATACTTAAAATGTAAACTTTGTAGGAGTAAAAAGTTATGTACTGCAGTTAAAAACAATGCTTAGCTTTCCATAACCAATTACTTAAAATATTTCCATGGTTAAGATTGATTTGAAAGTGTTCTGTACTGCAGTTAAAAACAATGTTTAGCTTTCCATAACCAATTACTTAAAATATTTCCATGGTTAAGATTGATTTGAAAGTACAGAGTTATTGAAACAAACGTGGAGGATTTCTGATATCCAAAAGTTGCAGAACATGAAAGGTGGGGACATGTATGCAATAATAAAAGTGAACTCAGCAGTGCATCACTTGGAGACAGAATGAATTGTGTGCTTGTAGGTCAATATAGTATTTATTAATCTATCTAGTAAATAAATTTATTAGTATCTTTGATAGTTGATTAATAGTTAAATACCATCAAGAATATGAAAAACTGAGTTATTCTGAGTTGCATTTCTGAGTTTACATTTTAGAAGCACCAAAAAAATGGCTGATTTCTCCCCAAGGATGCCTTTTCTGAAATGTAACAAATGCATTGATGTAACTTCAAGGGGACCTCATTGTAACAGCACTAGTTTTTAAACAGTAGATGTGACAACTTTGTTTTACAAGACAAGATAAGGCGCCATCTGCTGAGCTGCTAACCCTTCTTCTCACCCTATTCCTGCTTCTAAGGGGTCTAGTTCAATTCGTTGAAGAAGTGCTGAATTTTGGATGATAGGTTGTGCCTTGCTAGTTACTCTGGTTACTGTATGACAGCATTCTTATCCTTTAAAAACTGAAAATGAAACCAAACATTTTCATTTGACAGATATACACCCACCCTCATCCTTTTTTAGGTAATGTCTAAAATGCAGACCATTTCTTGTTTAGAGCAGGGATATTCTTTCTTTCCCTCAGATGCTGCAATGGTCTATTTTCCCCTCATATTATTCTTGTTTTTCCAGTATTACATGGATCCTCCTGTTAGACTGAATGAAGCTCTTGAAAGATACGGCTTGAAAAAAGAAGACTTCTTTCTCTTACACCACGGAGAATCGCGGGACTTGAGTACAAACGATGGGTTTGAATAATGAAGCAGCAGTTCCTCTTCAGCCTGGGTTGAACTAGCAACTAATGTCACAGAGTTTAATATGATGTAGCTACAAAGTAGATTTTTTTGGAGTGAATTGGATTTTTAGATGCCAGATTTGTCAGTTCCAGAACTAAAACTTGCATACCAATCTCATGATAAATTTTACTAGTTATGCTGTTGATGAATTTGGAGAGGTGATCTAAAAATTGGCTAATATATACGGTATTGTCTGGGAATAACTTGCGGTTTCAACTCTGATGTACACCACTGATCAATTATTATTTTTTTTTTAAAAACTCTTCATCTTACCTACACCAGCAATAATAACCTCAGCACGGGGACATATTCTTAGAGTTAATGGCTGACTCGAATTAGTCATTGTTAGAATGTCATCTCCCACTTGTTAGTCATTAATCTTCAGGTTATGCCCTGTACCTCGACAGCTTCACTGTATGCTTTGTGGGGTGGAGTCTTCCAATACAGCTGTGGTGTTCAAGCACAAGCGCAGTAAAATTGTTAATGCTTCTACATTTTCACATGTTGAACCACAAAAGCTGAATTTTACACTGTTCTAAAGAAATGTGCCTTTTAAAGAGAGAGAGAATTTAATATTGCATCACTGATGTGTAAAACTTACTGCTGGCCAGAGTATCTGCACACTTTCATTGTTTTGTCAATATTTTTAAGTTAGGCCTGAATGTGTCTACAACAACTTTCTTGTCAAATGCAGTATGTGGAATGGAAGAATCCCTTAACGGCGCTTGCCTTGGCATTGACTCAGCCTGTTATTAAGGGGAGGGGGTTGTTTATTTGTTTTTTTAAGTGAAAAGTCTTAAACAAGGGCTGTGGTATTTTTTTTCTTATAGCTTCCCTATAATTTTAAAGTTGAATGAGAGATTACAACACTGTTTGGTATTGTAAAACTTGGCTAAATGTATCTGTATCAAATTGCCATGCTAATTTACAGCCTAATTAAAGCCTACTGTTGCCAATAAAAAGGGTTGTTATTCTCCTTCATAATTCATTGGCAAATCATTTTTTTGTTCGTGATTTGTTTTGGTCTACGGGATATCTGTGTATTTTTTTGCTCTTGTTGTGCATTACATTTTATGTTCATACTCCATGAAGATAAATAATAATAATAATAAAAAAGGACACATTATTTCCCTGCAATTTAAAGACATGAACTTCTGGCAACTAATTAAAACCAGCTAATGGGATTTCACGCTAGGAGCAAACAAGCAGTTGTTTAACTGTTGACAGTTGTCTTTTAGAATTTTGTATCAAAGTCCTAGAAGTCTTATAGATCTTTATACCACCAAGGAATAGCACAAGGAGGCAAAGATCTGTTAGTCCAAGTTCATGCTGAGGAAGGGTTCTGGAACAGATGACACATGTATGAAAAAGTAGCTTCTATTCCTTTGGTGGGACTCACATTTGACAAATATAAAGATTTCTTTATTTGAAAAGGTAATTCCAGTAGAGCGTAGAGGTATTCACCAGAGTTTCTTCAAAACTGGTTTAAAACTACTCTCAGTCTACATCTCAGTAGCATTGGTCTATGGAGAAACCATTTAAAAATAGGCCTTTCTAGACCAGAAAAATAAGACTGAGACAACACTGTAACAAGTTTTCATGTCTTTTTAGAAAAGGGGACAATGGTCACTTTTTTTCTGTCAGCTATCAAATCCAAGGATAGAGATCAACTTTAATTACAAAAAAGATGCTAACTTATTTTGAGGTTGAAGAATGTGGAGAGGAACATCTAGACATCTCTGCTGCTGAGCTTAAGAAAACACATGTAACAGACATACCTAGAACAGAGTAGTCTAAGTTCTTGCCAGGAGAGGAAGGTGGAATTGGTAAATTCTTAGTGTGTGACCTAGCCTTGGGTTTTCTTTATTAAATGCAGAAGCAGAAAAAAAAAATTAAATCTACAAATAGTAGCAAAACATTAACTGATTGTAACATAACTCGCTTATTACAAAATGAACCCTGTTCTTGGGGCAGTGGGAAGGAGAAAGGGAAGTTCACTGTCAATGCAGCCCTTGTCAGGGTTCTGACTGGGAATCACGCCAACTTCTATTTCTGCTGTAAGTGTGCTCCTGGTGACTTAAAACTACCTATGTAGATAAATTAGATACATGGAGCTTTACCCCTGAATTGATCAAGGCATAGATATCTTGGGATTTGCAAGGTCACATTTTTCTTGCAGTTGCTATTTGCAAAGTCACCTACCAAAAAGAAATAAAACATCTACTGAATTACAGAAACAGAAGAGAGTAATATTTTATGAAGAGCAAAGTGGGTGTATTAACTTAGAAAGATGAAGCATCTGGTAACAGTTCAGATAATAAAGGTCTCTTAAAAATGGTACAAGGTGGAAACTCATTTCTAGCCTTTACACCTGACATTTTTAAACTTTCTCTATGATGCAGCGTTCAGGAAGATTTAGCAGTCGTGTTTTAGCTTGAAGTGGTTTATGTTCATCAGTGACAGTTCCTTCAGGTTCTTTTACGATGATGTTTATATGTGTTCCACTGCATTTTGTGTTAACGCTGGATTGATGACTAAAATTTCATGGGGGGTAACTCAAGAGAAGCATTTATTCCAATGATGTTCCAGTTGCAGAGAAAAAGGAGTAAAGCTCTCCGAGGAAAGTGGGCTCAAGGGCTGCTACAGAACAGGAACCTTTTATAAAAATGGGTATGACACTGCTCTTGTAGACTTCTTCTATAAAGATGAGAATGTTGAATTGCAGCTGCAGGTAGTCTTTTACTCATAATAAAATGTTTTGAAAAATACGTATGCTTTTCTTAGAGTCACAATTTTAAAACAAGATTAAATCCTTTTGATTTTTTTTTTTAAGTGTAGAAACCTTGCATGCTTGTGGCCAAATGCACTGCAGTTTGGCTAAATGGAATGGATGTACTAAGCATATGAAAATGGAGGTTTAGAATATATCCCGTGCAGGTAAGGTGAACAGACATAGGCTGAATAACTTTAATATGCAGTTTTCACTGAGAATACTAATTTTGTAGGAAGCCAATTGGTATTGTTTTTATCCAGTATTTTCGAAGATGTGCCTGCACCCATTTAGCAGATATCCGATTAATAAAATGTAAATGCCTTATCTCAAATTGCTAAATCTTTAATGTACCGTTCTATAGAAGTATTTATTCAACAGCTGTAAATATATAAGGCAACAAAACCTCTTTATGACATTAGGAAGAATATTTCAATTCACTTATACATTTAAAATGTTCAGCATACATATGAAAATTTTCACTTTTTAAACTATTCCTCCCCCTTTACGTACATGTACCAGCTGTACCATGATTTCTCAGTGCTAATTAAGCTATTGCTGTTATCTTGCTCATAAAAAAGATTAAAAAAAAAATCTGTTATGCTCTCCCTATATTAAATACATTGCATCCTCTGATTTGTGCCTAATAATATGGTATTATTCAGTATTTTTTTGGTTGTTTTATTATTTGCTTTTTGTTTTGTTTTGTTTTTTTTTAACGCAGCATTCCTAAGATTAGATATTTTCATCAAGCCAGTCTTTTTTTTTAAAAAAAAAATCACTATTGTGTTAATATTTTCACAACTTGCTCTTTCACTTCTGTATCAGGGTGATGTAACAAAGATGCCAGTTTCTGAGCAAATGGAGCAGAGTCTCTGCAGAGTGTAAAGAAAATGGAATCTTTGCTGTATTGGTCCTGAATAACGGTGCCGTCTTCATTGTTCATGTTCTTTTTCAAGTTTGCTGCGAATGCCAGGGCTCTAAGCAGAATATCTCTGTTTATACAGTTGTCAAAAAGCAACAACAACGATGGCACCTAGGATATTCGAGAAGTAATCCATACTTAATCAGCAGCAGTAAATACATGTAAATAATCTACCTTTGAAAAATGGGAAAAAAAACACCCTGCATCTATGCCATCTAAACCAGAAACCCTATGAAATACCCGAGCTCTATATGCTGTGACAGATGCCAGAAACTTGCACAGCACACACTTTTCTGCTTTAGAAAAGACTGGGTTGTGCTTCACAGGCGAATAAATGCCCTGTACTTTCAGTGTCCAAAATGGGGCTGTCTGGAAAATTCCAATTTGGAAGAGAGGGTCTGCTTTCCTTCTCAATAATGTTGCTTTTGCCCTCTGCAGTGATCTGAATGTTTTTATGTTAGCACAGCTGACAAATGAGAAAAGGATACACTTCTAACAGAGGACTGAATTATTTAGTTTTTATATTTTATATTTTGTTTTAATAATGAAGAGCCGGTAGTATCTAGACTAGCTTTGCTCGTGGCAGAAATAAAAGCCACTGCATGTTTTAAGAAACTTAGTTCTGGGAGGGGAGGAGGAGGCAGCACCTTTCCACTGACTCAGTTTTGATGTGAGGAAAGGATATGACTGAAATAAACCTGCGCACCAGGGCCAGCAATAGCAAATGTCAAATAAAGTCCTCTACAAAGACTTAAGTAAATGTGCAGGGAAAGTTCACTTACCTTACCCTTGTTTTAATAATGAAGAGCCGGTAGTATCTTTTATATTTTATATTTTGTTTTAATAATGAAGAGCCGGTAGTATCTAGACTAGCTTTGCTCGTGGCAGAAATAAAAGCCACTGCATGTTTTAAGAAACTTAGTTCTGGGAGGGGAGGAGGAGGCAGCACCTTTCCACTGACTCTGTTTTGATGTGAGGAAAGGATATGACTGAAATAAACCTGCGCACCAGGGCCAGCAATAGCAAATGTCAAATAAAGTCCTCTACAAAGACTTAAGTAAATGTGCAGGGAAAGTTCACTTACAGTGCTTAGAGACAACAGTTTTATAGCTGGTTTTGAGTAAAGGGGTGGGGATTTCAGTGGAATGGGGTTGTCTCAGGTACGGTGTGTTACCTATAGAAACAGCTGCTGAGAAGGATCATTTACAGTACTGGTTGTATTTGATGTTTGTACCTGGTCTTCAATCTCTATACTGACTACACGTCTGGAAATGAGGCTTTGGGTTTGTTTTTGAAACTTATCAGGGTACATTATATATATTACATACAAAAGTTCATAGTACTACTCCTATGGGGGAAAAGGAAGGTGAGAAGGGCAACGAAGCTGGTGAGGGGTCTGGAGAGTAAGTCTTATGGGGAGAGGCTGAGGGAGCTGGGGTTGTTCAGTCTGGAGAAGAGGAGGCTGAGGGGAGACCTTATCGCTCTCTACAACTCCCCAAAGGGGGGGTGTAGAGAGGCAGGGGTCGGTGTCCAAGTCACAGGCAATGGGACAAGAGGAAATGGCCTGAAGTTGCACCAGGGGAGGTTCAGACTGGATATTAAGAAAATTTTTTACACTGAAAGGGTTACTAAGCATTGGAATGGGCTGCCCAGGGAAGCGGCTGAGGCACCATCCCTGGAGGTATTTAAAAGACGGGTTGACATAGAGCTTAGTGACATGGTTTAGTGATTTTTTTTATCAGAGTTAGGTTGATGGTTGGACTGGATGATCTTAAAGGTCCCTTCCAACCTAGACATTCTATGATTCCATGATTTGGAATAGTACACAGGTAGTGTGACCAACTGTCTTCAAGTGCTTATGCCCTGTGACTCCCCCTCTGCCAGTACAGTAACTGTATTACACCGCACTCTGGAAAAAGCCAGCCTGCGAAAGAATCTACACTTCTAGCTACTGATTTTAACTGGGTACTGCCTAGAAGTTTTTACTCTGGAGTTGCATATATACTTCTAATACATTAAAATTCTTCTAATGCATGCATATATCTACGTGCATACGCATGTATAAATTCTAAAAACATAGTGACACAACAAGAACCTTACTTGAGCTCTGAGAAGATGTCTTGTCATGGCTGGGTTTGCAGTTAAGTTCACAAGTACTTTCAAAACTTGAATCTGAAATGAAGAACATACAAGTAAATTGCAAGCTCCAAACCCAGTAAGTACAGCAGTAACAGGCATCAATAATGTCAGTGTTGACTTGGAGGGGAAAAGGTAGAATGGGTCAACTGACATCTTGAGTCTTTGGTAGAGGAGAAAACAGACCTTATGGAGCCACTAGCATGTATATACCAAGTACAGACATCTTAGAAGCAAACTCAGTTTGACTTAAGCATTGAAATAAGGCAAGATCTATAAATAACTCACGGTAGGCAAAATATGGATTATTTTTTAAATATACAGAAGATAGTTAAGTACTGTATTTAAAATGTCATCAGAAACATATACAAATACACCTTTGTACTTTCCTGGACCTTTTGACACTAATGTTTTAACTAAACACTAGGAAAAAGCCAAATGCTACTTATTGTACTGAAGTAAAATAGGTCAGCTAAGTTTAGTGGAAATTTGTGTTTTGGAAAACTGGTTTTGATCTGACAGAGCAACTGGATACATTGATATTGAAGGTACTATGACACCTTGAATAAAGATTTGAAGCTCTTCTCTTCTTTCAGTGTTACAGTAATTCATAAATAAACTCAATTTCCCATTGCAGTCACTAGGATGCAATAAGCACAAGTGAGCAGAAATCCGTATTAGGTTATCACTGCTTGACATGCTTCCCCAGAGACATTTGTGCATGAGTGAAGCCTTTCACATACAGGTTCTCCTTGCTCTGTGATGCAGTAGCAACATTCAGTGAGCAGAAGAGAATTCAGGAGCTGCAACAGCAAAGGTATAGGACAATAGCACACAGAATTGCTATGACAGAGCTCTAGCCCAACGGTTCCACTAACAAGACTCCCTTCCTCCCCTCTTTCAGAATTTATGGATTTTATGCACTATCCACTATCATTCATGAATCCTTGATTTTCTAAGCACAGTCTAAAACACTTTACAAAACCAGTAAAACAGAAGCAAGTAAAGCAGCTTCATAAATGGTTACACTGCCCAGTACCTGTGTCCTTTCATTTCCTTCTGAAAGCAAATGAAGAAAGCAGGGAATTGAGTTTATCATCTTATGGTGATAGTCACTGGTAACAGACATGTTTGTCAACAATCGGAGTGCAGCCAGCTGCAGGTCAGAGTTCAGGGGAGCTGACTCAATGCTCCTACAAACTTGCATAATGTATACCTGGGGAAGAAGGGAAGGAGATAAAAAGAGAAAACATTTTTTGATACATGCAGATTTTCCATTCACAAACAGTATCAGTAGCCCAGCCACAGCAGTGTAAATACCTCTTGAACGCTGCTGACTGAATACATAACCTCATCAATGTTCTTGGAAATGAGTACTATTTTGTTTTGTTTTGAATATATTCAAACATTCTATTGGCATGATAGAAGCAGGTGTTACAGAGTTACACTGAATAACCTTCCTGAAACATAAATTGCTCTGAAAACCCAAACTGCTTTAACTCCATCTCAGAAGTGGCACATTTCCTTCAAGGAGTTATTTAAAAAAATCACTTACAGCAACCAACATTGTCCTAAATGTTGAGAACAAGCTAAGGACAAGTCCTGGAATGAAATCCTTTCTTCCAACCACATGCCCCATTCACTTCAGAGCACTGATGACAACTGATATGAACCTTTTACCAAATTTTCTTCTGGATGACAGTATACAATGAATCTTGGCATCCTAGCTAAGAAAAAAAATAACTTTGCCTTTACCAAAGGAGTTGTTTTCTACTTATATATCTATATAAATATTTGCTGTTGGCAAGCAATACTTTAAAAGCCGTTACTCAATGCTAAAGATCCTGCAAACTGCTACCTACAGTCAAACTGCCTTTTTATCAAGCTAATGAAAGAAGTAGTAAAAAAAATCTTCAAATCTGCATCAACTCACTGCTTGGACACACCTTGATCTATTGATTAATCTCATAATGTCAAAAGTGGATGCTTTTTTGATGGTTAGTCCTTTCACATTCATACCATCTACTATATTTACCAGCGGGACTTCTTGGTTTTATATGCTATTCTTTTAAGATAAAAGTATCCCCCTGAAAATTGGTGTCATACAAACCCAGGGGATCAATTACTGTTGTCTCCTTGCCTAAGGAGTCATGGTAAGTTCAGTCTGAATTCCATCCTATTGAACAACTACTACTGATGTTCTTGATGTGTTTGGAAATCATCTTGCCTCACATAATTTCACTATTAACTTAGGAGCACAGTCTCTGATTAATAGCATTTGGTGAAAGCTGAACACAAAGTGCCTAGCTTCTGACTGTCTTTTAAAAAAAAGTAAGTGCCAATGATGTAGTGCATTTTTAAGTTATCCTTTTGGCCTTGGGATGCACCAATCATCCAGATCTGCTGGTTCGTATGTCTAACATCAAAACATTTTGGCATCCTGGCCTTTATGCTGAAAGCTCTGTATTATCTCCTGGCTTTTTCCCTTTAAGAAACTTACCTGTATCTCTTGCTGGTTTTTAATATTCATACTCAAATTATTAAGTGCATTTAGTGCTTTCTCTTTAACTTTGGGAACGCAATCCGAGAGCATTCCTCCAATAACAGAAAGGCCATCCAAATTTCGGATTATATCCTGAAATATAAAACACATATTTAATAATTATTTTTAAAAAGTAAGTAAATGCTGAAGGCTTTCCTCAAAGTTTCCATTTTAACGCAAACGGAATGTGTAAATGAAGGCTTCCAGAACAGACTCTTCTGTTTAAAAAGAGAGCATTAGTAGATATTGCTTTATTGCTTCCATTGAAATTTAGAATAATCCTGCTTAGAGCCAAAGTATTATTTGACGTTATTTGACAATGGCACAACACCTTTACTTTTAAAATCTGTCCTGCAACGCATGCTTAAAGCATTTTAGATTATGAAGAATCAAAGGTAATTACTGCATAATGAGTTTGTAGAACAGCTGAGCCAGATCAGAGTCCTAAAAGTCCTGACTGAACAGAATTTCAAGATGCAGCTTTATATTATGCAAGAAGTTCTAAAACTTTATCTTTCTTTTCCATTACATTTGATTATTTTTTTAAATTTTTTTCACTTTTTCACTCTAACAATCATCAAAAAAAAAAAACAAACGGGTACTCTTTTCAAGAAAATAAAAAAATGAGCCAATGGGCCTTGAGATTCAGTTCTGTTCTGTTCTGAGAGTTTTAAGAAGCCAGGATAGCCAGCTGTCACAAGTACCACAAAAAGTGAAAAAAATAGAAACAAAAGAAAAGGGTGAGGCCCTGGAGGTTAAACCTTTATAAAGGCATGAAAATCTGCACCCATCTCAAAGTTTTTCTGCGTCATATTTCCAATTGATTCCAAGAGACCTGGATAGCTGGAAAATTGCTAAGATGTAAATTACATCCAGCTTTGTAAAGATAATTATCTCAGTAAATTTCAGATCCGATTCTGAAGGTATTTAACCGCTCTCCAACCCTTTCATTAACGTTAAGCAACAAAAGATGTATTTACAGCACTTTTACAATATAGAACTCTGTACTGACTTTAAGTTGTACACACATTAAGCTTACATAAATTCTGTGAAGCTGGTAAATTATGTTATTCAGGCTAGTGGAAATTAAGGCATAGACATAAAATGGATTTCAGAACACAAGTTACCCCAGCTCTCAGTCCCATCACCCTTCAGCAAAACAGCACCTCTCCTCTCCCACACTGACTGGTATTAAAACACTGTTGTTTTCTACAGAACAATACTTACTTGATTTACAGAGAAGGCAGCGCTGTTGCTGAGAGTGATTAAAGCTTGCTCTTGAATTAATGGATCATCTGTGGCCTGGAGCAAATGAATAAGCTTCTGTAGGGCATCCGCATCCATGGTGTGGGTTGATGCTGGAGGTCTGTTGTCTGTCAGTGTTTAAAAATTAAATACTTGATACCGAGTTTGAGACATTTCACTTAGTTATCACTAAATGTTTTTTACAAAGCTGATCTTTAGCTCTCAGTTGTTGTACATGTAGTTCTAAGTTTGACTGTACCCAACCATCATAGCATGGCAAAGAGAGTGTGTTCTACAACAGCAAGACTTCTGTCCTTTTTCTTGAGTCCTCTGACAACCTCTTTTCAAAGTAGAAAATAAAACAAGAGCTTGAGTGTTACTTTTGTATGTTACTTTTTGATTAAACTTCCCCTTCAAACTATTAGGAATATTCATCAAACGTTAATTTTTTTCCTTGTGTTCTCTGAGATGAAATGAAATATGGAAATCTGTCTGTAGGAAAACAGAACTTCTGACTTGCAGACTATTACTTCCAGAAATTATGATAATGGTGTTTTGCTACTACCCTGAGGTCCTTTGACAAATTAACAGCCACAATGTTAAGAACACTGCCAACCGTGGCATCACTCAACCGAGGAAGGCTTGTTTCTGAGTCAGGATGATGTTGTGGAGTACCTGCCTTTTATAAAAGGGCAACACAAATGCCATCAGAGACCATTTTCAGCCAGGCTGGAGGCAGAACCATTTACCTAGCTGAACTGCCTGAAGACCCAATCTATGACTGCTGGACTAATCACAGATGACTCAGGACGACTTCTGAGAAGTCCCTTATAATTCCATGTACTCGCCGTCACCATCTCAGCAGGCAAACACCATAGGGTTTTTTTGGGGAAAAAAGAAAAGAGGTCAAAGTTAATTATGATAATCCAAGAGCTAGCTTGAAGAACAAAATCGGGTTTTATCCTCATCTCATCCTCGTCTGAACACTTTGTTTAGCTTTGAATTACAGGGGGAACACAAACAACTTCAATGACAGAAGTTCAATCAGCCCATGAAGCAAACACGCCGACTGAACGGACGCTTTAGGGGACTCCAAGAAAATTAATTAGGCTTTTTTGAAAAATCAAACGTGCTACAGAGTCCTTTACAAAGGTCGCAGGGCTACCGGAGGGCGAGGAGCAGCACCGCGGCACCCCTCACGGCCGCAGCCCCGCCTCCCAGGCCTCAGGCGGGCCCGGCCCGCAGCCGCTGGAACCCGCCCC